GGACATTCTTTATTTCTCCCCTCGACTGCATACGTCGCAATTTTGCCCCCTCGCCACATGAAGGCAGAAACCAGATTGCAGAAAGTTGAGTGGATCAGAGGTAAGGAAATAAAGACAGTGAGGAGGAGATCTCCCTTTAGAAAGACTTGGCTATGAAGACAAAAGAGCGAGTCACATGTTGGGCCAGAATGATGGGAGAGGTTTTCACCTGTTTGTCATTTAAAGTGAATGACACTGAGGATGAATTTGAAGATACAAGGGAAGGGACAATTCATGGCAGTAAACCATGGGAGGAGAGGAGATTGAAAACTTCAGTTAAATGTTTTGTTTTTCTTTTTTCTTTTTTATTTCATTTATTTAGGTACCGGGATTTGACTCAGAGTTGCTTTACCACTGAGCTATATCCCTAGCCCTTTTTTTCATTTTGAGACAGGTTCTCACTAAGTTGCTGAGGCTGGCCTCGAATTTTCTTTTATATATATATATATATATTATTTCAGTTGTAGTTGGACACAATACCTTTATTTTATTTATTTTTATATGGTGCTGAGGATCAAACCCAGGGTCTCACACATGCTAGGCGAACACTCTACCTGTACCACACAGCCACAGTCCCAGCCCCTGGCCTCAAATTTTCAATCCTTCTGCTTCAGCTTCCTAAGTCACTGGAATACAGGTGTGTGCCTGGCATGTGCCTTTTTTAAAAAAAATTTATAAACAGGGTCTCACGATGTTGCCCAAGATCGTCTTAAGCTCTTGGGCTCATGATCCTCCTGCCTCAGCCTCCTGAATAGCTGGACTATAGTTGCAACCAACTCCAGGAATTAAATCTTGAAAGAGGACAGGCATGCTTCTTTCTTAAAATGAATGGGAATGGGGAAGACAGGGAGGTTGGGTGTGGAATATATGGTATGTTAGCTATGTCAGGGGCATTTCTATAGATAGAATGAGAAGTTTAAGGGATTGTATGATTTTATCATCTTCAGAGAATTTCAGGTTTAGCTCTGACTCCAACTTATGACTTTACTAGAAACAAGATCTAACATATTAGCTGGGTGCAGTGGCTCGACAGGCTGAAGCAGGAGGATCCTGCGTTCAAAGCCAGCCTCATCAACAGTGAGTTGCTAAGCAACTCAGTGAGACCCTGTCTTTAAATAAAACAGAAAATAGAGCTGGGGATGTGGCTCAGTGGTTGAGTGCCCCTGAGTTCAATCCCTGGTGCAAAATATATATATATATATATATATATATATATATATAATATATTTAGTACTTGGTGGTCATTTCTTAAGTTGCTGCTTTTATTTCTGTGAGTGGAGAACAAGGTAAGTCAACTTATTACAATTATGTCCAAAGTAAAAGTTTATAATGGGGCAGGGGGTAGCTCAGTGGTAGAATGTATACTTTGCATGCTCTGGGTTCCATCCCCAGCACCACAAAAAATAAAGTAAAAGTCTATAGGTTGTGAAGAACATCAGCAGAGAAACAGCCATTTCTCCATCACTGGTGGAAAAGAACTTGGAATAAATGTGAGCCCATTTTTAAAGATGCAGGTCAACCACAAGATCCATCATGGGCTACCCTAGCAGATAAAATAGCTTTACCACAAACACCTGGTAAGCCCCTTTTAATTCCTTCAAACATCTGTTATCTCCTATTCTCTGTGTGTCACTCAACGTGAATATATTCTACATACAGGATCTCGAATTCTCTAAACATCCTTGCAAGGGAGATTGTATTGTTCCCATTTTATAGATGATGAATCTACAACTTGGAGAGGTGAATACTTTACTCAAGGTCACTAATGTAGAGTCAGGATTTGAACCCAGGATAGGCTGCTTCCCACTATACCAATGGTTTTAAATTTTGCTCTAGGGGCACTGTGGTCTGTCTCTATAAGATAGATATAGGGGCCAGGTGTGGTGAGAAACACCTGTAATCTCCAGTGGCTCCTAGCAGCTCAGGAGGCTGAGACAGGAGGATCCCAATTTCAAAGCCAGCCTCAGCAAGAAACTTAGTGAGATCTTGTCTCAAAATAAAAAATAAAAAGGGCTAGGGATGTGGTTCAGTGATTGAGCACCCCTGGGTTCAATCTGTGGTACCAAAACAACAACAAAAAAAAAGACTGATGTTGAAACAGTTCCATGCCACTAGTGTGAGGTACATGCAATATGCATGCACATATATTTTGCATGTAATCTAGGAATCCTTTTTGTGTGTGTGTGGTCTGGGGATTGAACCGAGGGCTTTGTGCATGCAAGGCAAGCACTCTTATCAACTGAGCTATATCCCCAGTCCTGTAATCTAGGAATCTCTGAATGGCAATGCTTTATACAAAACAAAATCTTTGTGTTTTAAAAAGGTGGCATTTCACTGTCTCAAAATTAAAAAAGGGAACTGGGCACAATGGCATATGCCTGTAATCCCAGTGAATCAGGAGGTTGAGGCAGGAGGGCAAGTTTGAGGCCAGCCTTGGCAATTTAGAAAGACCCTGTCTCAAAAAAAAAATGGCTGGGGATGTGGCTCAGTGGTAAAGGGCATCTGGGTTCAATCCCCAGTACCCTGCCCCTAAAAATAGAGGTAGCAGGTGGGAAGAGGAGATCTCAGCCTACCTTCAACCTGGGGAGCTCCACACTGTCAGTTTTACACACAGGGCTTCTAGGTAAGCTTCATTAGAGCACAGGCTTTGGAGGAAAGAGAAAGAAAAGCATAATGGTATTGCCCTTATATGGGTCTCAGACCAAAGCATGACTTTTCTTGAAGTGATGCTCCAGAAATTCATGGCTTGTGATGCATTTGCACCCAGTTTTCTCCCTCAGCACTTCCATCTTCCATGTGACTGCTAGGGTGATTTCCCAAAGCCTCATGTTACTCTTCTGCTTAGAAACTTCCATGACTGCCAGCTACCTTTTGGTTAAAATCCGATTTCCCTCTTTAGCATAGCCTTCAAGACCCTTGGTGATCTGGACCCTATCCACTTTTCCAGTCTTGCCATTCACCACTCCCCGGATCCCATCCTCCTGCCAAACCGGCTGACTTACAATTCCTGGCTCTTGTTATATCCACTGGCCAGCTCCCACTCACCCCTGGCACTTCAGATCTGGCCTGACCTTCCCCTGCTTTCCTGAACTTCTGGTTGGCTCAGGCCCCGCTTCAATGCTCCCTCAGCACCCCCTTCCCCCAACCTTCATGCTCATCTCACAGTCCAGCTTCTGTTTCCTTTTCTTGTCTGCCACTAGAATGTACTTTTGTATCATCTGCTTAACTCTGCTTTACTCCCCTAGAAAGACGTTTCTCAGGGAATTTGTTCTTTCTCTTGGGATAAGCATACCAGTCTTGCCTTGAAAAGCATACCAGAAATGCCAATGGCTTGATGTTAGGCACAGAGCGTTTTCAGCATGGGAGTTTGTCCCCTGCAGCCAAACCTCAATTTTACATGGAGGAGGTAGGCTAGGCCATATCACATGGTGAGAAAAATCTGTGGGGAAAAATAGCTGACTACAGGAAAAAAAAAATATCGAAAGCCACTCTTGAATCTTCCAGCTGACTTGGTTTTCATTTTGGAAAGAGCTGGGTGGATACTTGTCTCAGGTCCCCAAATCTGCTAAGAGTTAAGATTTTTTTAATACTTATTCCCAAGTATTTTTTAGGTGGACACAATATCTTTATTTTACATTTATGTGGTGCTGAGGATCGAACCCAGTGCCTGGTGCATGCTAGATAAGCGCTCTACCACTGAGCCACAACTCCAGCCCAAGTTAAGATGTTTAGCTTCAGACTTTTCCTATAAAGAGGGGATGACTGTTGTTAAGTGTCCTTTAAATGCTCAGCACACACCAATCTTCCTTCCAAGCCAGGAGCCTGAGGACTCAGCCATGTGGCAGGAAGGCCCTGCCTGACAGCCTTCATTGAGCCCAACCCACCTTGGCAGCTGTCAAGGGGGGAGGTGGTGCAGCAGAAAGCAAAGTCCTGCATCAGCCAGTTAGCACTTACAAAATGGTCATAGGGGTGGAGGGGGCTAATATCAATGTCAATGCCAATGCCAAATGCCAGAATCTGGGAACTGCTCACCATCCCCACTTCAACCATCAGAGAAAAAATTATTTCAAAAAATAAAAAAGAAATGCTCTATTACCCTGTGTAAATATGTTTAAGGTGTAGTTTCTAGAGCCACAGGGCAGGTTGAAAACAGCAATAGAAAGGGTTTGGATCATTCTGTGCAAAAAATCTAATGAGATATTAAAGAAAGGCAAGGAAGTTTCCAGCACAGAGGGGGCAAACAGACCCATCAGAAAGAGGTGGAAACCTGGATCAGCATGGTGTTTCTGGGTTATTCTGTAATAGCTGTTTCTCCTGATGTTTGAGGACTGAGAGAGAGGGTAACAGTCCATTGTAAGGATTCCCCAAGCCCCCAGAGGCACAGTGCTATTTTTAAAATGCACTGTTCTGTAAGGCAGCATGGCTCTCCAGTCACCAACTGCTTTCCCCTCCTTTCAGGCTGAGTCATCTCTCTGGTGTTCTGTTTAATTCATGCTATTTCTGAATGGGAGCAATTTTCTAAACTACAACTTGTGTATTAAACTTGATTTTTTAAAGACGTGGGCGAGGAAAGCCTTATCTTGGGGGAAAATAGTGCCAGTGGGTGTGGCTCATTGGAGGGCACAAGTCAAGTAAATTACATGACTCATATGAAATATCAGAAATTTGTAGACTTTTCCTTTTTACCATCTAGACATGACAAGTCCACTAGGGTGAGACTTGCACACCAGGCCAGACCTGAAGACAACTCAGGACACAGGTGACTGTATTTCTCATCAGAGCCAAGACAGAGGTAGTCCCTTTGGTGCACAGCTCTGACAATATGCTCTGAGAGTGAGACCCAGAGCCTGCCCTTGGATCAGTAGCTTGTGGCTGTGGGTTGACCACCTCTTCCTTGCAAACATATGCACTCCCCATCCACTGTGGTTAATAAGGGAAAACAAAGTCAAAGGACAGCTTTGTCATGTGAAAGGAAAAAACATTCCACTTTAATATGCTTAAGAAGTCATCCGTGATACACTGAAACAGGTACCAGTAAGGCCTGGGTAGTCTCAAGAGCCAGAGACCGCCTCTACCCGCACAACGAGATTCATTAATGGCAGAGTTAAACAGGCAGTTAGGCTTTCCTCTGCATCAATGGTTTGCAATCTTAACTCATTTTTCTAGTGAATGTTTCTTAATAAACAGCGCTTCCGCCTGCCCAGCGTGGCTACTGGAAAGCTTAACTTTCCCTCTCCCAAACGGGACCACGCTCCTTGTTCCTAAATCAGTCCGGTAGCCCACTTGGTCCTCGGCTCTCTCTCAGTTAGGGGTTGCCCTAGGCCCTGGGTGCCTCTGGCCAGTGGCTGCAGCAAACCTGGGGCAGGTACCTGAGTTGGGCCCAGAGGGGGTCTGCCCCTTGCAGGTCCACGCTGTGTACAGGGGCGCTTCTCCTTCAGTGGGACCTGGGACAACCAAGGATAGAGGCCTCCCCATAGCGTCGCGGCGCCTCCAAGCACTCTTGTCTCCATCGTCCTCAACGATCTTGGAAGAAGGGGAATAGGTGACGGAAAAGGCCCTGGATTTGTGCCACCCGGCTGCCCGCAGTGTCCTTCTCTTTGGCCCGAGGAGCCGCGGCTCGCGTTTTTGTCTCGGTGGTTGTCGCGCTCGTTGCGCTGGGGGTCCGTCTCAGCGTCCACACAGCGCCACCGCTGCCGCTGCTGTTGTTGTTGGCGTTGCTGCGCTCGCTGCTGCGCGCGGTCTCCCAATCCTCCGCTCCCGACAGCTCACGCAGCCTCAGGGGTGCGTTGGACGGCAGGTAGTGGCAAGCCCGGTGGCCACTGTGGTCTCGGCGAGTGGGGTCAGCGCCCAGGGCGCCCACCAGCACTTTGATGACCATGTCGTGGCCCTGCAGAGCCGCCAGGTGGAGGGGCGTCAGGCCGCCGCTGCCCGGGACGCTCACGTCGAGTGGCAGTCCCCGGCGCTGGGCGAAATCATGCACCAGAATGAGCTCCTCGTGGCGCCCGTGCTTGGCCAGCCAGTGCAGCACGGTGTACCCCGTGATCGGGTCGCCTCGCAACAGGAGCCCAGGCTCAGCCTCCAGCAGTTCCTGAAGCACCTCAAAACGGCCCTCGGCGGCCGCCAGAATCCACGCGTGCTCCCGCGGTTCCAGGCACAGTCCGCTGCCGTTCGGCCCGCTTGGCCCTCCGGGCGCGCCGGTGATCGGCTCCTCGGTGCGCTCTTCGGACAGCCACCCTGCGGGAGCCGCCCCCTGCAACCCCAGCAGCTCCCGCAGAGCTCCCCGCCTGCGCCCGGAGCCCGCTCCGGAGAGCATCAGCGAGCTGTGGGAAGGGGACTCCCGGGAGGCGGCGGCGACGGCGGCGTTGCCCCGGTACCTGTCCAGGCTGCTGAGGTCCACTCTCGAGGGGCGGGGCTGCGGGGCGCCCCTCGGGTTCTGCCCGGTCCGCGTGCGAGAGGCCTTGGGCGCCGGGCTCACGACCCCTCGGGGCTGGGCCATGGTCTTACAGCTGCTGCCGCGGCCGTTCCGGCGTCTAGCGTTCGTTGCCCTTCCCGGGCCCCACCGGGAGAGGAACTGGCGCTGGCGGTGGGGAAGGAAGCGGCTTGAGCAATTGGGCTCAGAGGGAGGGAGCAAAGGAGGGGAGGAGGAGGGAAGGAGGGAGGGAGTAAGCTCGGAAAGGCCCCCGCGTGGGCGGTGAGGGGCGCCGGGGGTGGGCGGGCCAGCTGGTCCTCTAGGCAACCCGGGCTCCGACGCCCTGGGTAACAGCCACCTCCGAATCCCTGGGGCACAGGCGGCCCCGCCCCAAACAGCCAGGTGAGCTCCGCAGCCCCGCCTCCGGCACTGCGCGGGCAGCGGAGGGCAGGCGCGTGGGCGGGGTGGGAGGCAGCCTGCGGCCCTCGTAGCCGGAGTTCAGAGCATCCCGGCAGCTGCTGGAGGAGAGGTTCTAGTGCGCCTCCTCCCTGGCGGGCTGAGCTCGCCGCCAGACAAGGCCTAGGAGAGCGAGATCTTTGAGCTCCAGGGCGCTGGCTTCCCACCCCCTTCTATCGCCCTTCCCTCTTATCTCTCCAGGAATCTCCCTGAACTTTGTTCCTGAGCCGCCTTTGTCCTGCGCCTAGCATTCAGGGAGGCTGTCTGGTCGCCCCATGTGACTCGGGTTCGTCTACCCTGCCTTTACGTGACCTTGATCCTCTCCGTAGAAATGGGCGCTGCCTTAGAATTCCTGCGGAGACTTCAGAGAAGACTTTCCAGGGAACTGAGAAGGGGTATTCCCCTGCCGCCCCGCGGCTTCCTGCTCCACTCTCAGCCTTCTTCCCCACTCCTCTCTCATTAACTCTCAGATTGGCTCGAAGAAGCAGCTACAGGTGAATCCTAACCAGCGCCACGGGAACGCCCCACCCTCTTCAGAGATGCCTCCTGCTCTTTCCCGAGGGACTATTTCTGCAAATTCAGAGCCTCGGGCTTTTGAAAAAGAAGGATATTTAACGCCCCTCCCCAATACCGCGGAATTGTACCCCAACCCTGATCTTGCTCATAATACCAGCCTCCTCTTTATTCTTCCCTTCCCCCAAATAATGATAGTTCTTGCCTTCTGTACCCTACCATGGTAAGGAGTTCAGTCTGTGAGCAATAGGGGTCCATAGAAGGCTCTTGAGCCAGGAAGGGCACAGTTATGATTAAGGTTGCGTTATAAAGATGATTCTGGGAAAGGCAGAGGCAAGAAGCGAGAAGACTATTCCAGCAGTCTAGACTAGATGGGGTGGGAGTTCTCACCAAGGCAGCCCACTCCAACTGGGCCTAATAGTGGCACCAATGATGGTGTCAGAGGCTTTCCTCCTTGATCCTCAAATATCTGGGCTCTAAATACCTTTCTGACAGCTTATACATTTGTAATTCATTTTGAACATTGACCATGTGCCAAACACTGTGCTAGATGCTTTATATATGGTAACTCTTAATCCTCCTAATGACCTTAGGAACTAAATATCATTACTATCCCCAGTTTGCAAAGAGGTTAGACCACTTAGTCAAGGTCACCCAGCAGGAAGTGGCAGAGCAAGTCTAGGTGACACAGTAGCTTTTGTTCTGGCACAGAGGAACTGGCATTCAAGCCAGGTTTATCAACTGGAAATCACCCATGCAAGCCCCAAATTCCAGCCAAATGGATGAGTTTGCCCCAACTTGAGCTGATCTTCTACTTGCTCTTCTCTACCAGGAACTCTCTCCCTCATAGCTTCCCTCTAGTGAAGTTCTCTGTCTTTCAAGGTCAGCCTCAGTGTCTGCCTTCTCCAGGCGGACTCTGTTTACCCTGGCCCAGAGTGATGCTCTTGTTCCCCAACTGTCTGTTTCAACTACTCCTTTGGCACCCAGCATAGCTGGCCTTGTTTTATATTTCTCTCCTCTTGCTCTTCTGACATGTCAATTAAACTATAAACTTTGGTGAGTATATCATATTATCCTTGTACACCTAGTAAGAAATTTTTACCTTGTTATGATTTGACAGTCTGGGAAAATGTGGTACGTGTATGTGTGTGTTGGAAAGATGCATCCACAGCCAGAGTCTCCATGCCCACTCCCATATCCCTGCCTCAAACTGACTCTGCAGGATACTAAAAGCAACTCAGATTTGGTCAATTCATAAAACTTTTTAAAAAATAGTGATTAGGGCTGGGGTTGTGGGTTAGTGGTAGAGCACTTAGCACCTGTGAGGCACTGAATTCGATTCTCAGCACCATATATAAATGAATAAATTAATGGTCCATCAACAACTAAAAAATTTTTTTAGAAAATAGTGATTAAGTGGGTTCTTCCTTGGGCTATCTGACCAAAGCCACCTCCTGGTCTTTGCTGACTCCTCAGAGACCAGGCCCAGAATGGGCCCCAAACTTTCAGGCTTTCATTTTCAAAATGAGCCCTAACTGACAAGCAGCTACTTCCGTTGCTCTGGGAACTCCCCTTCACAAACCCAAAACTGTAAACACCAAACCACACACATGCACACATACTTCCAGAATATGCAAACAGCTGCAGCAATATTTTTTTTAAATCAAAATGCCAACATGGAGAATGCAGCACGGAAGAATGCTTGGACTATTAATTTTCCTCACCACTAAGCAGGCAATTCCTTTCCTATCAGCACTAATAATATCTCTGGTTCCAATTCAAAGACTGTAAAGGCAGCCAGTCCCCATGACACGTGTGCCCTCGCTTAACTCTTTTGAGACCAAAGCCACAGTGCCTCCCTAGAAACTCATTTCATTTTACTTAGCAAGTACTTTCTACCTCAGGATACCAGTTGGATACACTGTTCCTGAGCACCCCAGCATCCATCTCTATTGCAATAGAGAGGGGCTCTGGAATTTGATGTCAGGGAGTGAGATAAAGGGAGTGAAAATAGAACCCACTTACAACTCAGATGCCAGCTACCTGAAGTATCTGCTACCCATTATCATCATTGTGTGTGTGTGTGTGGTACTAGGTGTCAAACATAGGGACCTGCACATGCTAGGCAAGTACTCTACCACTGAACTACTCCTCCAGTCTGCTAATCTTCCAAGGGAGTGAAGTGACACACTTCAAAATCTTGGAAATGACATTTATTTGGTGTTGCACACCAATAATCCCAGTTACTTGGGAGTCTGAAGCAGGAGGAACCCAAGTTTAAGGCCAGCCTGAACAACTTAGTGAGGCCCTGTCTCAAAAAATTCAAAGGATTGGAGATGTAGCTCAGTGGTAGAGCACCTCTGGAATTAATCCCCAGTACCAGGGGTTCAGGGGGAATGCAGAAATGACCTCCCAAAAAGTTAGATATACATTGCAGATGGTAGTACCTGGTGTTTTGTCCAAGTAGCATCCTCTCTAATGCCTTTATGGGTTTATTTACAGATCCTGGACTATTAGAACTAAAAGAGATCTTGGCCGAGCATGGTGGCGCATGCCTGTAATTCCAGCGGCTCTGGAGGCTGAGACGGGAGGATCACAGGTTCAAAGCCAGCCTCGGCACAGATGAGGTGCTAAGCAATTCAGTGAGACCCTGTCTCTAAATAAAATACAAAATAGGGCTGGGGATGTGGCTCAGTGGTTGAGTGCCCCTGAGTTCAGTCCCCAGTACCCACCCCCCGCAAAAAAAAAAAGAACTAAAAGAGATCTTAATGTTTCATTGATGTTCGGTTTCCCAAAGTCAAAGAGATGGCCCAGACACAGAAACTTAAAGCTGAAGTGTTAAGTGTACATCGGAAATCAATCTTGATAGAGACAGCAGTTTAGAAATATTATTGGAAGTCAGTGGGGAATTATAATTGATCTTAAGAAATTTAATTTACATGCAAGTTCTCAGGTACCTGCCCCTAGGGCAAAGCCAAAGGCTTGTGTATCCCGGTCTGCTAATGGAGTTTGCCCGTGGGTTTATGGACTCAGAAAAATCCATGAGTGCCCAATTCGCAAGAGAAAGATGTATGGAAAATGGGAAGTAAATCTGTCAGGTTTTCATAATCTTCAGGGAACATCCTTGAGGTTCCTATTTGAGAGGAGATCTAATATTGAATACCTTTTCCTTAAACTATGGACCAAATCATATAGTAGACACTTCACAAATTCTTTCCTAGTACTTCAGAATTACTTTGTTCCTCAGTCTTTCAGTCAGGTCTGATATAACCACTAGGAAAAAAATTATATCACTTTGAGAGCTGGGTAACTCAGAATAGTGGAAGGTGGTAGAACCACTTAGACACATATGTGAACCATGTGACCAGAGCTTCTCAAAATGACTGAGGATGAGGTGGGCAGGGAACAGAAAGAAATCTTCAGAGCTGAGTGGAATCAGGAACTTGCCTAAGACTCAGGCTGAAACTGATGGACTAGAACCCATTGGTCAAGCCTGAGCCCTGAGTGTGATCAAAATTTTTTTCCATTTCACATTTGATTGATTCTTGGATTAAAAGAATTCCTATGTGGAATATATGGAATATATTGAATATATGACCAATGTAATTCTACATTGTGTACAACCAGAAGAATGAGAATTTATCATCCATGTATGTATAAGATGTCAAAATACATGCTACTCTCATGTATAACTAATAAAAACAAATAAAAAAATAGAAATAAGATGATTAAAAAAAATAATGCCACATCCTGGAAAAGGCCAAATGTAGTATCATGTGCAGACACACGAGGGCGCTCTAACCAATTAGCAATTGAGGAAATCAGAAAGATCACGCAGGTTTCAACCTGGGAGGAAAGAGGCATGGTAGGCCCTTCCTTGCTGTGAATGGAGGCTTGTACCCTGAATCAGGCTGCTCACCCCTGGCCCTTAATTAACTACGTGGAAGGAGGTACTAGTGCCAGGGATTGAGGTTTGAAGGCCCAGATGTCATGTTGGAGAGAATGTGAGCAATCTGGAAAGAGAGAAGATAGTGAACTGTACAAAGTGGTTCCTCATTTTATTTATCTATTATAAGAGGAGTTAGTCGGCTTCTGTAATATGTAAGGCTTAGAGTAATACTCTCATGCTTTTCAATGTGCTTTCATGTATTGGGGGTGTAGTGGGATCTCACAATGTTGCTGAGGCTGAACTCAAGCCATCCTCTTCCCTCAACCACTCCACTGTTGGGGCTACAAACACATACCACCACTCCCAACTGTTTCACATTTTTAATTCTCTTTGATCCTAGAGTGAACCTGTGAGGTATGTAGAGACCACAGTATTTATATCCAATTTATATGAAGGGTGAGAGATTAAGGGACTTTCCCAGAGCCAGATGGCTCAAAAGTGATAAATCAGACCCTCCGTTTCATGCTGCCTTATGCATATAGGTGCAAGGGACAAAGACAGCTCTCAAAAAAATTGTGCAGTGAATGTTGTCCTCAGTGCCTTCAGACTTCCATTTTTGACATTCAGTCATCTGGTGTCCCAGATTGCCCAATAGAGCACTGGCTAATGAGTGCTTACTGAGCACTTAGTGACTGGGAGGTCCTGTGCCAAGCATTAAATAAATATACATTATGCTACATGAATGTTCACAGCAGCCCTATTCACAATAACCACAAAAAAGGGGGAAACAATCCAATGTCCATTGCTATGATTTGAATGTGTCTTACAAAAATCCATGTGTTGGAACCTTTCCTCGGTATGGCATTCAAGAGGTGAGGCGTAATAGGAGGTATCTGAGGCGTGAAGGTGGAACCCTCATGAATGGATTAATGCCTTTCTCTAGGGACTGGGTTAATTTTCTTTTTTGTTTGTTTGTTTGTTTGTTTTGTTTTTTGGTACTGGGGATTGAACCCAGGGGGGCTTAACCACTGAACCATATCCCTATCCCTTTTTTATATATTCTTTAGAGACAGGGTCTTGCTAAATTGCTGAGGCTGGCTTTGAATTCACAATCCTCCTGCCTCAGCCTCCTGAACCGCTGGGATTACAGTCATGCGCCACCGTGGTGCCCAGCATGAGCTCTTGTTCTTCTGAGATTGCATGAGTTGCTTTGAGAGTGGGTTGTTATAAAGCAAGGCTACCCCTTGTTTTTCTCTTTTGCATGTATCTCTTGCCTTTTACTTTCTGCCATGAATTGAAGCAGCATGAGGCCCTCATCATGTGCTTGGAATTCCTAGCCTCCAGAACATGAGACAAAGTAAACCTTTATTCTTTATCAATCATCCAGTCTCAGGAATTCTGTTTTAGCAATAGAATTCTGTTCTTCTGAGATTGCATTAGAGTCAGAGAAAATGTCCATCATGACATGACAATATCAGTATCCATGAATGGATAAATGAAATGTAGTATAGCCATACGATGTAATAGTATTTGACCATAGAAGGAAGTGAAGAGCTAGGGAAGTAGCTCAGTGGTAGAGTACTTGCCTAGTATGCAAAGCCCTGGGTTTGATCCCCAGCATTGCAAACTATAACAAGAAAAGAAATGAAGTATTGACACATGCTACAACCTGAATGAACCTTGCAAATATTATTCTAACTGAAAGAAACCAGACACAAAAACCTCTTCCAATTCCATTTACATTCGATGTCCAGAAAAGGCAACTCCATTAAGGCAGAAAATAGGTAAAAGGCTGTCAAGGTAGGCATGGGGGAGAGTGACAGATGAAAGGTATGGGTTTCTTTTGGGGTGTTGAAAATGTTCTGGAATTAGGAAGTGGCAATGGTTACACAAACTCATTCATGTACTAAAAGCCACCAAAATGTATACTTCAAAGTGGTTAATTACATGGCATGGGAACTATATCTCAATAAAGCTATTTCCAATAAAGTGTATTATCTCTCTTAGTCTTTACAACCCTAAGAGACTGATGAGAATCTGAGGCCTATTGAAGATAATTGGCTGTGTTCACTCTGGTAGGAACCCATCCAAGTTTGCCTGATGCTTTTTTGTTTTTATTGTTTGTATGCTGGGGATTGAACCCAGGGCCTCACACATGCTAGGGAAGTGCTCTGCCAATGA